CAATCAGAACTGAGTAATTTTTCCATGTATATTATTAGCATTATAAAATGTATTCCTGAATAAAGTTGCGTTGCACGTAACATCAGAATTTCGTATAAAAATATTTGAGATAAAATAATCCTGATATGATGGATTTATTTTGCGTTAACAGTTTACTGAAATATAAATTCTTTTAATAAACTAGCTGCGCGTGACACATTTAAAAACACTGATTACAATTTGGTATAAAACAATACACCTAGAGCAAACGCAAGTTTATAGTAATATTTTGAAAATAACAAAACATACCCAAAATTTGTAGCTGGGGAAATAATATGTAACCTAATGCACCGGCAAGCTCATTTCTCATTCACCAGACGCACTGTGTTAATTCGATATGGCGTAAGCTGTATCTTAATAGTAGAAACCAATAATTTATATTGTATCGTTTCAGATAGTGAGAAAGTATCCACTGGAAAGTTAGATCCAGCTTAGGTCTTTCAATTATTAGTATTAATGTAAGTAGAAAATAGTCGTTTATTTGCTTTTACTTATTCAGGGCCCGGTTGTTCAAAACTGCGATTAGCGCTAATCCACGATTAAATAGGCTAATCGCCGATTAAATTTAAGTCGCCGATTAGTTTCTGTTGTTCAAAGCCCGATTATTCCTAACCTTCGATCAAACCAAGGGTTAAATCTAACCCTGCTCGCTAGGTGGATTAAATCCTTAATCAGCAGATTAAAAAATAAAAATCACAACATGGCTGACTTGTTGTATGGTTGTGTTGGTGTTGATGGGCGAAGAAAAAGGAAGCAAAGAGAGTTTAGGAGCATCTGTTTCACGATAGATGGATAAACAGACGAAGAATTATTAAGCTTCAAATTACTCTGCTTAATAGTAAAGCCTTGAACTGCTCTTCCAGCACCATGTCGTGGGTTATTTTCCTCTTTGGGGGCTTTTCGCTTACCTCCTTGATAGTTTTTTTACAGGAAGCGGTGTCTTCGACAACTTTGGTCACGGCTTCGTGTTTGCTTATTAACTCGTCGGGCTTCTCAGCAACAGAATTAGGGGTCTCATCGGCAGAGGCCTCGCTCGACACCACCTCGAGGACAAGAGTTTCTGGACCTACGGACCAGCCAGTCTTATTAGATAACGAAGCACCACAATCCGTTGAAATGCAGTGTTTTGAACTGCACTTGACTGCCTTTCTAAAAGGCAGCCATATTTAATTGATTAGAGTTGGCCGCTGGCCGAAGATTGTATTTGAAGCCGAGAAGAGAAGAGTGGGCCGAGGCAGACTTTTCGGTGCCATTTGTTTTTTTGTTTACATGGGAGTACATATAAAAGAAAATAAGAAAGAAACAAAAGTCTTAAGTCCGTTAATTTTCACTTTGCTTTGTGTTTGTTAGCGAAGTATACATTTTATGCAAGGCATGGACATTGAGAGGTATTACAATAATGTTTCCATTTATAAACTTACCTGTTTCAAACCCCTGTAACCCAGTAAATGACGGTGTGTCACTGAACATGTTTATTATTTTAAACTGGCTTCTGATGGGTTCGGGGGAGCAGGGCCACCACCTGTCTTCTTCTGTTCACTTTTAAAGGAACTGAATTCTCTTTTTGCATGACTCTGGAGGTTTTTCCACTTGTCTCGTACTTCCTGCGTTGATCTTGCTGTCACACCGACGGCGTTTACCGCCTCCGAGATTTCTTCCCAAATCTTGTTTTTTTTTTGCATTTGTTATACTGTTGGTAAATTTACTTTGAAGAATGTCCATATTTTCTTCAAATTTTTCCGTTAAAACGGAAATTTCAGCGGGTGAAAAGTTTGCTTTCCGCACTTTCTTCGCTGGAGAAGCCATATTGACAAAAATAAATTTCCGGCAATTTTATGACGTAAACTGGCACAAAATAAATTATAATTAATTAATATAATTCATTTTATGCTTAATCGCGGATTAGTAAATCGACCGAGTAATCTCCCTTTGAACAACCGTTTTTTAACCAACGATTAACTAACCCACGATTAAGAAATTTAATCGCCGATTAGGCCTTATCGGTGATTAGTTTAATCGCGGTTTTGAACAACCGGGCCTTGGTCATTCCAGTGGCGTCCCCGGCGAGGCTCAGTTTAAAAAGGAGGCAAGGTTACCTGGCTGGTTTTCACCGGTCGTGTGTCAAGGTTGATGTGGACGCGGGCTGTTAGAGACCTCTTAACTGGAAATTTTTGAAGCAAACTGCGGCTTAGCGTCGGTTGCACGGGGAAGATTGAGTTTGTAGTGAATTGAAATGAAACTACTGTATATGTGCTTAGATTCTGCGTTGGATTTGTGGCCGGCCGGTCATTTTGCGCTGGAATTTTTCGTTTCACTACGCTGTGCTGGTTTTGGTTTATTAACGTGCGCCATCAACTCTTTTCTTTTTCTTTTCTTTTATAGTATGGTCCAGCCAGTGAGAGAGAATGACACTTCGTACTGAAAGAATTTGAGTGAGTGAGAATGATGTTTCATCCACTCCTTAGTCTGCCCCTCAGGGTTGGCCCCTCTGGTACTTGAATAGGAAGTACTCGAACATGAACTTGAATAAGAACTTAAGAGCTAATGTCAGCATGCATCAGACAAACAGCGGAAAGTCATCCAAAATTTGCTTTCACTCCTACTTTTATGTTTTGCAGCCCAATATGTTCTGATAATTGTGGTGTAGTTTTTTTGTGAAAAATTATTTTAATTTTCGAGAAATGATTTTTTTCGTTCGATCGCTCAAATATGCAAATTTTCACTGTGAATATTACCCGAGTTGTGTGACCTCATGTGACGAATATACTTGACCTATGGTATTTCTGTCAACATAATCCTTTGTTTTATCATCTAAACTTAATCCCTTGTTATTATTGAAGCTGGCAAAGAAATATTTATTTTTTGGTGAATATTTTTGTCCGACATACTTTTCCTATGTCGAAAAGTAGCATCAAAACAAAGACAGTTTTAACAATGACCGAGATGACAGAATCTACTGAGCTTCAAGCTTTCAAAAGAAAAAAGGATGTTATAAAGTTAATGTAAAAGTTTCCTTGTGTATTTTTGTTGTTCTATCTTGAGACGAACTCAAAGT